CAACTTTAAACCCACCAGACTTCCCGCTGGCATTGCTCAGAAGAATCAGACTGTGTATATGGATCTGTACAAACTCAATCCCCAGGCCTGGAAAAACAAAGCCATCCCTACCGACAACTGCCAGCAGCTGCCTCTTTATGTGCCAAGATTCACAGTGGAGAGATTTGAAGGAGCTGTACAGGAAGGGGCCGTGTCTACAGCCGAGGTCGGTTCCTCCTGGGGAGTCAAGACAACAATGTGTTCTACTTGCCACTTTCCCACTTCTGTCGCCCCTTCCAGGAGAAAGTCCACTGTCAGCAAGAGGGTTTTCACCAGTTGGCCTGTCACAGCGAATGCACAATAACTGATGCTTTTGGAAAGCACATGTGTAATTTCAAAATTTCATATTAACACACTGGAAACATTTTGATTCCTAAGCAGTTTAGAGTACCATCGTTTCCAGGACACATTCAAAATAATGCAGATGGGGAACTCAACAAGACATTCACAGTAAAACCTTCCCCTAGAGGTCAATCCTTCCATTAGGAACTAAGGAAGATGTGGCACTGGACTTCAGAGAAAGGGAGTCTTAGCAACGTCCCGACTGTGGGGCCACATCCCATCTCTTTCTCTTTCCCATTTCAGTACAAACCCTAGATAGAGAAACAAGAAACTTTCTCTTCTCAGCAGCATTAGAGGTATGTTCCCTTCTAGACTGACTGTGCACCTTCAGATTTATCATTGTCATCTTGAAAGAGCAGGAAATACTCTTAACAGATTTGTAGCCCCATAACCCATCCAATACAGATCGAAAGGAATATCCCCACCACGGTCAGTTCAAGCACTCTGTCCTGCAGATTCATCTGTCGTCGAGATTCTAGAGCACAGATATAGTCTCTGTATAAATGTACCACATGAGCAGGTTAGAGCCTCAAATTGTTCTTTCTTGTTGCCATCGATTGGTTAATTTATCCCCCCCAACTCAGGAGATAATTTCTCCATTGATAAAAGTCAACATTAAAATAAAAGTGGCATGTTTCTGATCAATAGGATCAAAATGAAAATATGGTTGTTCCATGATCCCGTCTCATAACTTCTTCAAGGAGACTTTTGAAAACATCTCGCTTGGCCTGTCCATGACACTTTTGATGATTTTGTCTGCTTCCATCAACATTGCATGATCTCAGATAATCGCATTCAAAATTCCAAGTGAGCTCCTATGACTTCCATATGCCAATTTCATATCAATGTTTTGCATGTTCTAATATTGTAGTCTCGTAGAGTTACGTGCATGATCTCAGATAATCGCATTCAAAATTCCAAGTGAGCTCCTATGACTTCCATATGCCAGTTTCATATCAATGTTTTGCATGTTCTAATATTGTAGTCTCGTAGAGTTACATGTCCTGTAGGATCATGGTTATAGGATTCAGGGGTCATTGTGCTGGTGGATTTTGAAAACTCTTCTTCTAACTTTCATACCCCCAAATTGTTGATTGCTTCGTAATGCTTCTAGTCACTAGGTACGTTGGAGACTTTGCTTTACTCGTGTTGAAAAGCCACTGCTACATTTTGGTGTCATCTGTTTCGCTGACTTCTGACAAGATGAAGTTGGGGTTGTCATAGCCTCTCTTCATCCTGGCTCTAGCATCTTTCTCATTATAAAGGCACATGGCACAGTGAGGGGTCTCTACTTCTACCGTCTTGCTAAAGTTATGGAAATCCACTCGGTATTTCCCTTCCTTGGTCTTGGATACTATGGGAGCAAAACGGTAGCCCCAAAGCACCTCCTCTGGGACATAGGATGTCCGGACTTGGCAAGTGGCACTGGTTGACTCCACTGTGCCATCTAAAAACACCACTAATTCAAAGTCCTGCTGGGAAAGAGTTTCTGCTGCCATGTGGAAGAAGGGGCTGTTGTGATCAATCACATGGTAAATTGTCAGTGGGGAGATGAAGAATAAGTTTTCATTCCCAGCATCCACTACAAAATTGATATTGATCTGGTCCAAAATAATGGTCTCTCCTTCAGGAGTGACTATGGTCCTCAGAAGTTTTCCATATATGTGACTGCCAATAAGGAGGCTCTTCCTGAGATTAGCCACTCGGATTAGGAGGCAGAGCTTCCCACCCCGCTTGCTGATCACTGCATTCTTGCTGAACGTGATGGTCTTGGCACGTTTTTTGGGTCTGGAGATCTTAGCTAAGATGGCACCACACATGAAAGAATTGATGATAACTCCAAGTATAGACTGGCAGATAAGCAGAAAAATGGCAGTGGCACATTGCTCTGTCACACACCTGAATCCATATCCAATGGTCACTTGAGTTTCCAGAGAAAACAGAAAAGCTGAGGTCAAGCCATTAACGTTCTCCACACA